GGAGGATGTAGAGCTTGGTAACTATTTTTGGTTGATCATACCAGCTGCATTGCATGACCTTGGCATCACTCTCTTTTATTTGAAAATAAAACCCTACAGTATGCTGCATAGAATAGCCATGGATTACGTCAGGGTTTTGGTTTTTTTCTTTTTGAACACTGGCCAAGTTTCATTTAAATCTGAACCCATGGTGCCCTCTTTCAATAATATAGCTCTTTTCCATTAAGGCTGGATTAGCTTAGATTTTAAAGCATTCTAAAAATTTAGAATATATTGGAGAAAAAGCAAAAGTAGTGTTGCCATTGCTTCATTTTGGTTGTTTTTTTTTCTTCCATGTGTACATTTTTGGCGGAAAGTTGTGGGAGGGCCCTTTTTTGACAAATTATTATACTTTTGACAAATTATTATACTTTTGACAAATTAGAATGAATTAATTTTTAGTATGACAAATAATTTAAAAATATTATTGTCTAATGTGTGGTTTACCTGACAGCTAAGAAGCCATTAACTTTGAGGTTTTTCGCACTAAGGCACTGCATCAGCTGCTCAGATTGTGTGGCACTGAGAGTGTATGAAAAGCTGCCTTGATCACCCAGGGAAATTCCATGTACAGTTGTGTATGGGGAATTGCAGAGGTAGTGGAATTGCAGGATAATCGGTAGCAGTTGTATATGAAGAGACACTGTCAAGGCTGAGTTATGAGAGGGCTTTCTGTTTTTTATCGGACAGTGATTTTACAAATGCACTTGAGAAATGCTGGCTTTTGCAATATATAAAAGCTATGCAGGGATAATTTAAAGATCTAATACAGGAAAGCTTACTTTGCTTTCTCAAATGGTCTGGCATTCTTTGGTTCACTGACTCTTTTCAGTCTCAATATCCTCTTTCGTGAGCTTTCTATTAGTTTCCTGGTAAGTTCAATCAAGCTGTTTTTACTATACCGTCTCCTGTTGTTTGGAATAATATTAGTAGTTCATCTTCAGATAATTTTCTGCCCCAGGGAGGAGAAATGTCTATAGAGCACAGCTGTTGGAGGAAGTGCCCAAAGAAAGCATTATGCAGCAGCCCAAAATGTCCAAGTTTTTCTGGCAAGCGTTTTAGAAAAAGCTACTGACAAACAAAGACCTCTTAAAGGTATATGTATTCTAATATTTCCACTTCCTAAAAAGAAACAAAAACATTATTTACAATGCAGAATAAGTGAAATAAGAATACTATGATGTCGGTAAAATGGAAACATTGTTACAGAGAAGACCAGGAAATCCTGGGTGGCATCTATTTCCTTAAAAAAAAATTACACCAGAATACTATTTGGGTGTCTCATTTTCTGAGGGTGGATATCTCTCGATAGTAATACGGCAAAGAATGATTTTAATAGAGAATTTCTCATTTGATCACTGTAAGCTCTCATTTAAGGGGGAAGGAATGCAATTTAACGTCAAATATAATGGGAATTTTTAATAGCTCTGTTTAGCTGTGTACGAGGAAGATGATGAAACAAGGGTATGACTCGGGTTGCTGACTTGTGCAGTATTTCCTGTATCAGCAGTTCTACACATACCTCTCAGGGGGCTGTTTGTGTACATGTGGGGTTCTGTTTACTGGTGAATCAAATGGGAGAGTGATTTCATTAAACAGTCATCAGTGAAGAACTTAATGAATTTTGACTAGTATTATGGGCCATAATCTTGTCATATCTGGTTTAATGATAATTTGCTTCTTTAGCTAATTGTAATGCTTAATGTTATGTCTGTACCAGATAAGAAATCAGTTTTGCTGATTGCATGTATAACTCTGGGTCAGGAAAATGAGGTCAATAAGGAAAAAACCTCATTTTCAGTAGGAGGATTTAGTGGAGATTACTGCTGAGCATCACTGCTGGTACAGGGGCCGTGTAACCCTTTATGCAAGTGAACTCTCTCTGTCCCCTCTCCCCCCCCGACCCTTGAATAGAGGAGAGAAATCCAAGGGAAATTCTCCTGTCCTCCTTAGTGCGTATTAAGTTGGAGCAAGACTTTTTCTTTTTTGCTTGGCTTATCTTTAGTAATTCAAGCAAACGGCTTGTTCTCAAGTTTGTTAATTTTTCAAGAACCTCTAGAGGCAAAACAGTTCCCAAATTACTTTTGATTAAGTTGTTTTGATATGCTTTATATTCCTCTTATCTTAATGTAAAGCAAAATAGTGATGTACAAGTGCAAGTTGGGGAGGAAGAGAAGGAATTTGAGGCCCGACCCTTTGTGACAGGAGTCAGACAGGCAGAGAATGGAAGAAGGCACCTGGGAGAACCGCAGGAGGAAATGGGGTTTTCCAGGTACAAAGATATAGCAACTTGTAGAAGGTAATTTGGAAGCTGGGGAGCTTGCAGCCCTTCAGTGGGTGGGGACGTTCATAAACTGAAAAGCCAAACAGTTCTCTTCAGATTGGAATCTCTTGTGTAAGGATTATGGTTATCCATCCCATAATGCTGTAGCTAGGTGCTAATGAAATCACAAGGATGAAACTCATGTAGTCTGTCCCAAGACAGGTATGCTTTCAATATTGTAGAAGATACAAGTGTGTTTACATAGGTCATGATAGTCTCAAGAATTGTCACTCACTGGTTAAGTCCCTTTTAGACCTTGTTTGCAAGTAGGGAAGCTAATAGTATTGCTTTGATTTTGTTTGTGATGTGACATACAGACAAGTAGTGAGAGCCTGTTTGGTGCCTTTCACTTGTGAATAAACAATCAGGAATTCTTGCGCAATTGTGGGGGGTTTAGCCCTACTCCCTATAATTCTTAAAAGTGACCAACTGTTGGCTTTATGCCAGTGCAGTGGAACCAGCGTGTTTAATACTCAATGCTTTTTTGTGCTTCACTTAAATAGTGCCCGTGGGGAAGGACTAGCAATTCAGTTTTGTGGCTGTCAGCTGAGATTTCATGGATCTCCCCTGCGGCTGCTGAAATTTATTAGGCCTGTGTTAGACTCCTGATTTCAGACTGGGCTTCCTCTGTGAAAGATTTGTAGGAGCAAGACAGATAGCAGTAGAGCTGGACGCTTCCTGACTGTTCCAAGCCAAATGGCAACCTGTATTTGGATGCCAGACTTCACCTACAAGCTCTGAAGGTGTGGGTTCATTATGCAGCTGATGGCTCATTACGAGATTTCTTTTTCTTCCACAGAATCTGTCAAGTCTCTAAAATACAAATACTTTTTCATTCTTATTCTTCATCTGAGTTGGTAACTACTGCCGCTGTCATGGAAGTTCTGTTTAAATGGCCTGAAAGTACAGGGCCTGGGGAATATAATCTGCATGTCATGCTGCTGCTCCTTACAACATGAGAGTTATTACTGGCACACCTTCTTCCAGACCTACCAGATATACTGTGTTCTCCCAAGTTTTACATGAATGCAGCAGGAGAATACTGTCAGTTATCTGTCATCTAGCAGGTAGTAAGACTTTTTGCCCTGTTGGAAGCCTGTGCTTTCTGGCTTTTGTTGTGTAGCCGTGGATTCATTTGCAAATCAAAGTCTATTTCACAAGAATACTGTGAACAGTCTTTTGAATAGATTCGGTTCTTCAGGATGTTGGATCGTGAAAGGAAGGTACAGTCCAAGGTCTACCGGCGACCTCATTTTCAGGGGAAGAGAATGTCCTGCTATAACCATATCTCCAAGGGAAGGTTCCAAGTCTCCTGCTGCAGAGCTGGATTTGGGTGATTTATGATGTCTCTGACATAGATTGTCCCAAAAACCTAAAGGTACAGAGGGATTTGGCTGACTCCTGCTTGTTCAAGGTTATTTGGGTGCTGGGGCGGGCCACCTGAACTTGCCAGTAGATTCTGTGACCCTGGGAACTGTCTGTTCCCCTAACATGGGGAGATGGGAGCATCTGTCTTCTAAATATCACCGTTTTGGACACTATGTGCTGGCCTGCGTATAGAGGGTTTATTACTTCTGCGTGAATGACATCCCTGCCAACAGCAGGAAGTTATCTGAGCTTTGTACGCAAAATGAGCTGGTTTCTGAGCTCAAGCATGTGGCCAAATCATGCTCCTTTGCAAACCGTCATCCATTGTGCTTTGATTTTTCTGACTGGATAGAAAGTATCATTTCTTTAAGTTATTTCGTAGTATTTCTGTTCTTGTCATGCATTTGTTTTGCACCACAGTTATTACTGCTACTAGTCTTACATAATCAAAGGAAATATTTGTAAAAGGTCTGAATGAAAATGCTTAATTCCTGTTTGTAGACAAGACCTTAATCAGTTGTGCAAAATGTTTATAGTCAAATACTCTGCATCTAATCTGACAGTAAATTGCTCATATGCCCAGAAAGCTTCTCCTTTTAAGTAGCTTAAGATGAGCTGTAATAATAAGTGCTGTGGTCTCACTAATATGCTCTGTAATTCGGATCATATATTCTACTGTGAATGGTTTTTGTACAGTGCACCTCATGTCAGCTAAATTTGGTCTGCATCGTTAGCCCTACAACTGTGGAGAAACTATTAAATACACAAATACGAAAATAAAATCGTCCTGGACGTGTGCAGAAAAATAAAAATAAAGGAAGATATTTGGTATTAAGCAGGCTGTAAGGTTGGGTTTTTTTAAGACTTTTTTTCCTTGGCTGTATTGAAAATTGAATTCCGTACGTTGAGTTCGTCTGATCCGCTTCCTAAGAAAGCAAAACATGTACCAAAGCCCTGCCACAAGAGGGCCTTTCTTACGGAGTCTGAAAAAATGCATCTGGGAAAGGACAGGAGCGATCTCTGAACTATCAGTGAGGATTAGCTGTGGCCTGAATGTGTGTCTTTGTGATATTCTGAAAGACGTTTTGAGTGTGTTGATTTAGTTCTTGCCTACCCCATTAGTCATATTTTATAACCGTTGTCTGTATGCAGTGGGTGTGCTGCTTGGAGTTCAGCGCTGGTATGAAAGCATTACTACTGCGCAGATAGATATCTAAAATATTGTCAAAATACAGAAAACTGACATAACTGTGTTTTGGTTTTGTTGCAGTTGCCTTGTAGAAGGAGATGCTAAAGAAGAAATCTTGCAACCTCCAGAGCCTCAGCCAGTACCACCAATCTTAACACCATCTCCCCCATCAGCTTATCCAACAGTCACTACCGTGTGGCAGGACAATGATCGATACCATCCAAAGCCAGTTTTGCACATGGTTTTGTCAGAGCATTCAACAGACCTCAATGAGAATTACAATAAGTCAATAGAACATTCAGGGAAGAATGAACCCAGTGAACGTGCAGAGAAAAGGCTGGAGCGCAACCTAAGTTTTGAAATCAAGAAGGTGCCTCTTCAGGAGGGACCACGAAGCTTTGATGGGAACACCCTGTTGAACAGGGGACATGCAATTAAAATTAAGCCTGTGTCATCCTGTGTAGTTGATAAGAGCTTTAAGTCACAGGAACAGATTTCAGGGGATTCATTTGTAGATGCTTCTCAAAACTCTTGTGTGGAATGCAGCGTGCCACAGTCTAGCACAGCCTTAATACCTTCACCGGAAAGTCCGCAGAGTCAGCAGGTTTCTGATACTCCACCAAGACCAGATCGTCTGCCTCTGACGGAAAAGGGACATGCCACGTGGTCGCTGCATGGGCCTGAAAATGCACTGCGAACATCAGCGTCTGAAGACATGCCTTCAGACATCTTATGTCATGGTGTTAAAACTCTCTCTCTGGTATCAAACACCACAGTTGAACATCCTTCCAGTGATAATGTTGATCATAATACTATTTCTGTTCGAGCACCTCTCTGTTTCACTAATCCTCTTCATTCAGATGATTCTGACACAGATGAGATTAATTTTGATGGAGCCATGAGCAAAAGTGCATCTAATGTTTCAACCGCAAGTGCCACAGTTTCTGCTGCCACTAATACTGAAAACATTTCTGCCAGAAAAGTATTGCCAATGTCTATTGCTAGGCAAGACTTAACAGCCGTAGCATGTTCTGAAGATGGCAAAGGTAGGTCCCACTGTGGTTCAGAAGTGCTACTTTTTAACCTTGTTGCATCTGTAGATGGAGAGTTGGACAACATCAATTTCTTTACGTTTAGAAAATGGCATTATAAATTTAAACAGTGTAGTATGGCAGCTTCAGAAAGGGCTCTTTTCCTCCCAGTTTTTGTTTTGTATGTGAGCTATGTCTGTTACACTACTGGTACTACAGACCTTGATCAGCTGCTTCAAAAGCTTTATTGTGAGATATGAATGCATTCTTAGTTGCAGGTTTCTGTTATTGGTTGGTTCAACTTTTTCTCTACATCCAATTTCATGGAAGTGTCTATAATAATGGCAATTTTGGGTAGTCAAAGTATTTCAAACAGGCTCGTCCAAACGCACATCAAATTCATGCTTACCAGTTGATGTGCTGGTCCTAAAAATGTAGATGTAAACTCTTTAACTGTATTAGTCTTTGAAGTTGCTCCTGATTTGGCTTCTGCATGTTAATGGCATTGTAAATATTTAGCCCTGCTTTCCTCTTTTTCTGTACATGGCTGAGGGAGACAAATTAATATTGCTGTTCATCTAAAAGTACAAGTTCTGCTTTAGTAGTGCTTAGAAATTTATTCAGTTTCTTTTAATCTTTTACTGCTTTTTGGAATTTTTTGAGCAAAGAAAGTTTGCAAGAGTGCTTTTGCAGAAAGTTACATGATCTATTGAAGGCAAAAGGGTTCTATAATATTCATATTCATATTTCAGTGAGGCTGGCACACTTAGATTAGATGGAGGACATAGCTGCAAAGAACAAATTAGGTCTTGGTGACTGCCTGTGCAAAGTCCAACAGAGTGTGTAGTAAGGCTGTGGAGCTGAAAGGAAAACTTGAGCTTCTGTATTTAGATCAGACTCTTGTGCTAGGAGCCCCTTACAGTGATGCCCTCCCTTCAGGAGTCTCTACAGGCTACGTGACTTGCTGAGGTGAAATGGGGCTCAGGGTATGATGCAAGATGCAGAGGCAGCTGTATTGAAAATACATGCTTTGTGAACTAGGTTTTCACCAAAGTCATATATTCAGAAACACGAACTATTTTGTAGCTTTAAAAACAACGTGTTTCTATAGCTTTTGTGATATTATGTATACGAACAAAACAACACTTGCACGTATGTCATCTTTTTTTTTTTAACCTGCAAGACTTTAAAAATGCTCTGTCCTTTTTAAAAAGCCCTTTGTGTCATAGTTACTTCAAAGTTTATACCAAGCAGTACTCCTTGGATTTGTTTTTGGTAGATTTGCATGCTATAGTATTTTTCCAACATTGCTTTAGCCAGGCTTTTTTCCTTCTTTCCCCAGGCAATCATTGTTTATCATTCTTTGAAAATTGTTCCCTCTCTACACATCTCTTTATGTGTATACTGTAAGAATATGCAAATAAAATAAGTGATATGTCATAAATGGAAGAAATATCACTTCAGAATTTGTTTCATGTAGCTGCATATCAGAAACATCCTGAAATAACAGTACAGCCTTTGTGCTGCTGGTATGTTGCTGATTTCACAGGAATGGCTTGAGATTTTTATAGGAATTGTTTATAATTTATCTCTTGTTATTGAGGATGTATATGTTCTCTTTTATACAGTAGTGAACACTTCCCATTTTATATACAGGTTGCAGGTCTTGTAATCCATCTCAGACTGAAGAATATAAGGTTAGATCGCTTTACACCAGTGATCTTAAAACATGTTTTATAGTTTTATTTTGATACTTGTTCAGGACTCCTGTCTGAAGCTGGGGATGTGGGTACAGTCATCAGTGAAGCTTGCCTGTGAACTTACCAGCACCCTTGTTGCTTAACCGTAACTGTTGGTGTACGTGATCTTACCGCATAATTAAATCATTTTCTTAATTCAGATGAAGTGAAAAGTAGGTGTACCCTGAGGTTAAAAAACAAAACCCCAGCAACAAGAACCCCACAAAACCAACAAAAAGCAAAACAAAAAACCTAAAACAAAACAAACCCCCAAAACCTCACTTTCAGTTCCTGATACTCCATAGTACCACTCCATTTGCTGATTTTATAGAGACTATTTCAGTAAAAGAAGGTTTTCTTATGCTGTATAGTAAGCTTGAGATGGAGCAGGTCTCAGAGAAGTCACTTTGAACACAATGGCTTGTAAAATGTGCTGGAGTTCCTGTCCCTGCTGCTGCCGTGTTGGCAGGGCAAGCTTCATGGCTTCGTTAGTTGAAACGTGTGTTCAGCTTTTTATGAATCCTGTGTAGAATACAGCTGTCAGATGTGACTCCTTATGGCAGCAGCTACTTTGAATTGTGTTAAACCTTTAATTTCTACTCCTGGTGCCTTAGCAGGCCGGAGTGGGGCTTTTGCTGCCTGAACAGCTTGTGTTAGTGCACTGCTGAGAGGCACGAGGGAACAGACTGGGGACAATGTGTTCCTGGCACCAAGGGTAGCCATCTCCTCTGGTTCCTGTTTACCCTTTTGGCCAGTAAACCTCACACTAGACTGTTTAACTGGTTTATATCCCTGGTGTGGGAGCCAGCCTGGGTAGGGCCCAAGATGGACCTGGAAAGCAAAACAGGGACTTGGAGCTTTAGAGAAGTGGTTAATATGGAGCTTCCCTAGAACTTACTGTCGCATGGTGCAGTCCCGAAAAGCAACGTTGCTTAGTGTCCTTGCGCTGTGCTATCTAGCTGTGAAGCACAAATACAGGCTGGGCAGAGAAT